CTTTGGAATTAGAACTTTCACAAGCAGCGGGCGAGTGTTTGAATGAAAAAGGTTGCAAAACGGCTGCTTTGAATGTTGTACGACTCATGCGTGATCGATCCGTCAAACAACAACGACTTCTTGAAAAACAGAAATCTTCCAAAAGACGTATTTATGTTTCTGTTCTTTAAATATTAGCATTGTTATTACTGATATGGATGTATAAATTAGGTCTACAGTTTTGAAATGATTTATAATTGAATCGTTTTAAGATTATGAAGTTTAACATCTATTACGGACATTGTTGATGAGAAGTAATGTAGCGTATTGCGGTTTTTCAGAGTGCAAAAATTTTTTGGTAGTCATATTGCTATGAGAATCGATGACTAAAAGGAATAAAACCTTTGAAATTAAAGTAAGTTATCGTAATTGAAATTGAAAAACGGTATCTGATTTAATTTCTTTTAGAATTCGAGGACAGCGATGTAGTCAATCATGTGTTAACTGTTCAAAAAGAAAAAACAAAAAAAAAGAAAAACAAGCACCGAGATCTGGTCATTGAACACTTGGAACCAATTATGGTACATGCACAGCAAAATGGTAATTTCACTGTATATTCAAATCATCACATTACATTTTGAATATAATATTCGTATTCTTATTTTATGAAATTTTGCTTTTTATAATGACTTGTCTGTTGAACATTCTACCGATTCTGTCGGTCTTTGAAAGTTTCAAAGAAAAACCTAGCTAATTGCATCATTATGTGTCAGAATATAAATATTCATTTCTCATTAAACAATAGTCCCCATTTCTAACATGTGCTTAATTCTAGTAGCTCAGACGATACCAAGGAAGGACGAAAAAGTATCTTATGAAACAAAAAGAAACGAAAAACGCAACTCGAGTAATGGCCAGTCCTTTTTCTTTTCCAATTATATGCAAACCGACAAGTTCTTTTCCTTGCAGTTTGCTTGTTGTAGACTTCTCTTGTTTAAAATTATGATAGAAGCTGAAGTATTTGCTGGTTAAAGGTGTGATTTAATGTCGCATTTTGTTAGTTGTGATTGCAATGCTATTTACTTCATAACTAATACGAGCTAACACAACAATCAAAATGCATAACTTTCTATCGTGAAATTGCTAATGGGAAATAATTTGTTGATTGAGTGTTGGGTAAAATGGTGCTATTAAATTCATGGGATTTATTTGGAAGTAGTAAGGGTTAGATATAAATTAATGCGGTAAACATTTTCTATTTCAGTGATGTCGTTTTGGTGGAGAATTTTAACTGTTTCATTCCTCTTCACATTAGCTGTGTCTGTATTTGCTGTTGTTATTGCAGTGACCAACTGTTTTAGTGAACCACAGAGCTGGTCCTTGTTATCAAGACCGTTCTGCGAAGATCTACAAACACTACTAACAGAACATTCAGTTGGTTTAAATTTTATGCTTTCTTAAATATAAATTTAACTGTGCAAATTTGTCATTTTTACCTTTTCTGTGTTTCTAACTCCCCTAGAATTATTTAATTTTATTAAATTACCAAAACTGAAAGACATTCATTATTTACATGATGTGAGGAAATTAAAAAATTATCTGGCGTTGCAGAACTTTAAGCTTAATCGGTTTTCAGTTTCCACTAACGATATCTGGTAATTTCTTCCTTTCAATCACATCGTTGTTGAAATCCTATATTGATGCTGCTGGTGTAGCTTGGCAGGAATTCGAACAAAAGGCTGATTTAGTAGCTTTTGTTAAAGATTCTTATTTTGTACTTTATATGAAATTGGTCTCAGTGGGATTATTGGTGCAAGGCTACGCAGTGTACAAGGCATGTTCCCATTCAAATGTTTTTTTTTTTTTTTCGAAATTTTGGTAACCTGAATTAATTCATATAATTCGTTCTAATATTTTTCAGATATTTTATTCATATGCTCAGGAAAGCCATGACGCTGTCATGAAGGGTAGATTTCCGTTAAACATAAGATAGTTTACCGAATGTTTTGAGTACGGTTGCACCTATACCTGTTTTGGTACAAAATCTTGTAGGAATGATTGTTTATCCTATTTAGCACTTAACTTTCTGATATTTCTCAGTAAGCAATAGAAAGAACTGCATGTTCGGCAAGCCGGACAAGAATTCGAAGATTCATAATATAAATAGATTTCTTTCATAATAAATCCTGCTAAGAACTTTTCCTGCAGTGCAACTTTCGGAAGTTTTCCCAAAAAATGAGTTTTATCCATTTTATTGAAAACTTAAGTGTTTCGAATATTTTCAAATGCTACTTTCTTATAGTACGACAGTTTCATGACTTTTTACAATGCGTATGCTGCGGATGCTGTAAATAATGTTCTGAAGAATATGTGGCTTTTACTGAGGATATTTGGTTTGATGGTTGCTGATTTATTGATGTTTGTTGTTGGTAAGCACTGGTTATATGTGTTTCTTGAAGTAAATGATAATTTACTTAAAGTTAGAAAAGTGATGTTTCGATTGGGTTTTTGAAATGGAAACCTATTAGTAAGAATTCATCCCGCATGAATTATTCCAAAATTCTGTGGTGTAGGACTGGAAACTTAGAGTTACACAATGTGACCATTGTTAACCAGACCATATGAAGGGAGTTTTTGAAGTTACCACTATTCAACAAACGATTTGCATTTTGTGAAAGTATTATTTACAGGCGAGAGTTTGTTATTTGTTTCATCAGGAGTTGAAACGATATTTACGTATGCATACAGAGGTGATCAACTGGCGGAAGTACTGCAAAACTGGTGGAATAAGGTGAAATAGAGCAATGATAGATCTTTTGCTTTTGTTGAGCAAAATACCTTTTCTTCCTCTTATGCTTTGCGGGTATTTATGTTTCTTTTATTATGTATCAGTTACATGCAGAATGAACCTTTTTTACAATTACAAACAGTAAAAAACATGTTAATTCGTAAGCAATCTTCTATTTGTTGTCATTTCTGCAAATCATTCCATTTTTCGTTCATACTATGATAAACGTTCGAATGAACAAAAATTTTTATTTTTATTTCATCATAGACAGTGGAAAAATGGTACTATGAAATTAGTAGATATATTTCGTTATGTTGATTCATATTATTGTGATTCATAAAACTGCACGAATTCATTTCTTTTTCGCTATCAAGTGCATCAGTTACATGTCTATAATTGGTTTACTCACAGTATTGGGTACAGTGTTAATCAAACTGGTATTTATTAGCTGGAGTGTTTGTAGGACTTCGCATCTATTAACTTAGTGAAGTATGATATTGCAATATATTATTATGGAATGCCTTTTACATCAATAGATTTTTCAGGAATAATTTTCAAACTAGCAGTTCAGTTCTACATGAAATGTCAATTTGTTTATATTTTCTTGTCTGGGAGAGCAAACTGAAGCAAAAACTAAGAAAAATTCATGCAGCCTTAGTTAAGGGACTATTCAGCGCATCCAAGTTGAATTGATCGGAATTTCCATAAACGAGGAGGACCAGTTTAAATCTCTAAATCCTTTTAAAAAGGCTTTTAAGACAGACTTCTCGACATCATAGAGTGCTACTATCATTTCCCAGATGTTCAGGACACTTCTAACACCGGATCAAATCTTTAACAACCGGATTTTCCCTTTTTAGTCTGGAATCTTCGCTAGCTAACATTAGGGAAATATTAAATACGATGAGTTCAGCCCCATCAATGCGGCCCGGGTTTTAGATTTCCTCATCTATGTTTCCAACAATGCTGAAATTCTATAGGCGGGAGATTGGGGATGAGATTTATTGTTGAAAATTTTTATCAGAAAATGGGCGAACCAAATGCTTACCGTTTCCGGCCTAATTTATTCTTAAAAAAGTATGGCTTTGTATCCTTTGAAATAGAAATTGTAGATTGTGTATTTAACCACAAGATGTCTTCTATTTTTAGACTTGGTTCCTATGATGAATACTTGTTCCTATCACAATCAGACATAAGCAGAAAGAGTTCTAAGGCTGTATTATTAAACATTAAAGATTACGCTTCGTTTCAATATTACGATTGCATTTAATTAAACGATATTGAAATTCCAAAGATTTATTTAAAAGAAAAAATAGTTGTGTCTCTACCCAATTAGTTATTTAATATAGCATTAAGTATGAGGACCGTAAGTTAAAATACTAAGCTTAAGCATTTCTTTCGGTTATTACCGCTGTGTAAGAATTATATTTGTGGTAAAATAAGGTTTTCTCAGAAAACCTTATTTTACCACTGTTTTTTATAATTAGATCACTGACATTACTGGCAGCCTGGTTAGCATTACCTGGACGAAAACTGGACAGGCATGAGTAAAAGGTCTGAAGAAAAAACTGAAAATTTAAACAGTTTGAACAATCTCAAAGGCAAGAAGGGAGGACAAAGCCTTTACAAATACATTAAATATCATGTAAAATGCATTTCTTGCAGTTCAAAAAAAAAAGAAAAGAAAAGCTATGTTGATATTAACTTGAATGCAGCTTAATGGAAATTGAAACCAAATGCAGAGCAGAAGCAGTGAACAACTTGTTAGTCTATTCAATAAAAGGAAAAATGGAAGTTCAAGAGAAATCTGATACTAATGTTAAACATGATTAATGAAACAATTTCGAAACCATCAAAATCACAAAAAGGAATAAGATGGACTTCGCAGACTTGCACGTAAGAAACAACTTGCAGATGCCATCTTGAGGTTCGTTCACAAAAAAAATGGGAAAAATAATTTACACTGTACCCAAAGAAACAACAGACATATACATATGGACATTGATAAATAGATAAACAAGCGATCTGAGAAATTTTACAAATCTCACACGAATCGTTTAAATTATCGGGATTTTTTTTTTAAGAAAAAAAAAAAATCTTAAGATATGAAGTATGCACGAAAATGAGATCTGTGAGACAAGTCTAAATTTAGCGATAACTACTAGTTGATAGACGGTACAGAAAAAAAAGAAAAGAACAATTTGCACAACTCTCAGTCTGAATTTGATAAGCTTCAACTGCTAATTCCGCCGATGGAGTCCAGAATGTGCATGGAGTTCCTCGAACTGATTTCATCTGGAGACGATGTAGATGGCTTGTCAACTTTATCACCGTCTAAGGAAACCTGCAAAATTGTTTTGTGAAAGCTTACAAGAATTACGAGTAAGTTAAAATAAAATCACAATATATGGAAATTCTGGGACTGTTTATCATACATTCAGAGTGATTCTTTGAGCTTACTAGATTTCAAAGATAAATTTGCAAAAAACATACGATGTCACCAAAATAGCCGTTCAGCCTTTCCATCATTGCTGCAAATGCATTCTTCAGCATGTTATGGTATTCAACTTGATCTTCACCAATGGCCGCTTCATTTGCTTCTAAAGCTTCTGCACAAACCGATACAAGAGATCTGCAAAAAAAAGGAACAAACCTGGTTCCACGAAATGCATTTGAAATTTGGGTTTTCAGCTACTTAATTCGAATAAATTGAAAATTTGATTATGAAACTCCTTTCATATATCCTACTATAGTTGTGGGCTGGATACAAAGGAAACTTTCAAGATACATTAAAACACTACCTGAACGCATCAGCCAATTTTTCAATACCACTTCGGCCATAAAGAATTTTCTGCGTTGGTGTAGTAAATGCTTCTGCATAGGCAAGAGGACCAACATTCACCTGCAAACAGGCTCGTATATTAAAGCACAAAAATTTTTAAAAAATTTTAAACTAAACAGTTAGGCTGACAAAACTCCACTTCATAAAAATAGTAAAAACTTAATTTTCAACTGCTGAAGATATGAAAAATTCATCTTTTAATGTGAACTAAAAGAATGAACCAATGCTAACAGTAGGTTGCACAGCGCCCTGCAACAACAATTGCAATCCTTTGACATCCAGACGTCTTGTTGGCTCACCAGTGGCTGAAGCTGCGTCTAATATTCGTCGCAATTGTTTTGATTTGAAAATCAATTTATCACATGCTAATTCCAACGGTGACAACGATGTTTCAGACTGATTCACGACACGTGAACGGCGTCGTGTATTCGGGAAGCTATCTTCTACTGAAATCTTCCAATTCTTAATTTGAAAAAGGAAAAAACAGAACAATGGAAAAAATAATTCACTCTCTATCCCCATTGCTAAGACCTAACAAAACGGATGAAAGGTGAGTGAAGTTGAAAATTTTAATTTTCCCAGTTGTTAGAGAAATAAACAAACTTTCACCTGTAATAAAAATACGTTTAAGTGCTTGTCGAGCGACTTGGGGTGCATTAGCTGCCACTTTTTCATCAATCATCGATATTTCATAAAAGAAATCTCGCATGTTTGTATGAGCTTCATAGCTGCTAACGTCATAACCATTCATGCAGGGTTCAACATGCATCATTTGTACATAAGCTATCGATTCATCCAATTTGGTTTCATCAATCTTTAAGAAATTATTTATTCAATTTATTTCTTTTTAAAATGATCCTTCTGTTAAGCGTTTGTTCTATTTCAATCTAGAGCAATAGAAATCTGTTTAATGCTTTAAAAAAAACAACACAGATGCGAAAATGTAGAAGGAAATTTATAGTGCGAATTACGTCATTTTCCAATTCAAAGTAAATTGCAAAATAGACAACTCTCAAAAAGTTGAAATATAATCTCAAATTTATATCACTTAAAATGTAGGATGAAATATGAAAAAGGATCAAACAGCTCAACAAAATATTTGGAAAAAAAAAGAAAAATTTGCACTTCTCTTCCTGCAATAATTTGTACTCGATTATGGCCAAGAATACAACGGCATGCATCCGTCATACGCTCACAGGCTTCTGCCAACGAGGTATGACCTACTTCACGATAAACCCATTCAGTAGCGTGTTGCACCCTAAAACTAGGATCAACCAATTAAATATATATTATTAAATTCAAATCAAATAACTCTCATGCTGATCTTAGAAACAATTCACAGCTCGACTAAGTAGCATGTAAAGTTGAAAAAGATGACGAAAGAGAGGAGACTGAGCTTATTTCACTCGTATTTCTCAAATTTGAAGCTGTAGCTTTACGTTGTGGTTTTATTGGTTATGAAAGTAAAGACTTTGAAGTAGAAATGATTTTAAGTAACAAATGCATTAAGGTCGTACCCAAAATGTTTAGGTCCATAGAAAAGTACTTTAAAATACGTTCCAAGATGTCGTTTGCCACTGACTTTCATTTGATCAGCTAAGGCAAATGTTTGTTGCAATTCGGCATATATACCAACCAAAGCCTAATAGAAAGGAATTTTTGATTTCCAGAAAAATGGAATATTCTTAACCAAACTTAAATTGAAACTTTTCTGCACAGGAAAAGAACTTACTCGGTAATTTTTTTGTTGTTCATATATTGGAATTGCTAAACGACAAACCGGTCCCACTGCTTCATATCGTTCAGCCATGATTAACGTTTGAACTAATTTTTCTACTTTTGTGGTGAAAGTATCCTAAAAATCAGGAGTCAAGATTCCCGAGTTTGCTTTCAACCAAATTATTCACATATTCTATGAGCTTACCAAACTGAATCCTGCTTGCTGTATAATTTCTGAATCTGTATCATTTACAATCTCCTCCTTGACTATCGTATCATTGATACAAGCCAGCAAATCCCAGTCAATTTTCGCACATCCTGCTTTTATAAATGTACGAAATGAATATATGCATTCAGTTTTTAAAATAAATACCTAGACACAATATGGAAATCAAAATTTTGGACTTTTAAATAATATACCGTCATGTAAATCACATGCGTATGACAATTGGTGATCATCCATCTCTTTAAAAAAATTCATAATTACCAAGAATAAATAAAGAACAATTATATTTAAATAGAAGATTTCAACTAAATGCTTATTAATCAGGAAATGGAAGGATAATTCACTGTTCGGTAATTCAGACAATTTCAGTCGATTGCCACAAATCTCGCTATCTCAAAAATGAATAACTTTTGTACATATTATTTATATTATTTAAACAGGAATTTCAACTGAATACAAACCATTGATAGCAAGCTCCCGACCAATGATAGCAATGACATGAGCTTCACAAACAGCTGCTTCAGAAAACCAACGCTCACGAATGTGTGTTTCAGCAAGTGTCTCAAACCAAGCACTTCTTAACGCTGCCGATCCTCGATAGCTATCAGCGAGCTGTACATGTAAATCTGCCAGCCGAATCTATAAAAAAATCAACAGTGAAAGATTTCCAACTGGATGGTTTGGATGCAGCATAGTACTTGATTTATCTAGAAGGTCAAAATAAATGTCATACCAATTTTTCTTCTTAAGAAGACAAATTAGAAAGCTGTTTTATGGGTTTTAAAAACGCAATTAACAACTACTTTCAAAGTAAACAAACTGCATAAAAAATACGGGGTCGTCAACAGCTTTCGCAAGAGCATCAGTCGCCGAAAGGACACCTCGCAATTGTTGAATTAATTCCTAAAAGAAACAAAAAATATTTAAGGAAACAGTGAAATTAGCGATGTATTGCAGTGGAATTAGCAGTTAGAAATAAAAAAGGCCTTAATTTTCCAAATTTTTTAAAATGATAAATTGGCGAAAATAAAAAATGAGATCTTTTTCGATTTCTTTTTGAACACAATTTAGAATTGCTGTTAAAAAGTACAAAGCTATACAATGAAAATCTGAGAAAAAACGAAGTTTAAGTTTTATGTTGAAACAAAACTGATAAAAAACTTGACACATCCTTACAGTTTTTTGATTTCATTTCAATAAAGCTCTAAATTCAAAAATAAAGGCAATAAAAAACACATACTTCCACTCCTCGCTCAAAATATGTTGGTCTGGTTCCAGACTGAGGTTTCACTAATATTTCCAAAATTTCCAGCCCGTGTTCGAAACGGCTTTTATTGGTAAGAGGAACTTTCCTCCCAAGTAGTCTGGAATAGAAATAAAGTTATTCATTATGTTTAGTGAAAATCTAACTTATAAACATTCGAACACATCTCAAATCTGAATCAGAAGCACTGATTGAATCATAACTGCGCGTAAATGAAATGACAAAAATTAGCTAAAGTGTTGGAGCCCTTACAGTTGCCATGATTCCTGCTCTTCCTCCCAAATGTTTTTAATACTTCAAAACATATCGACAATTTCATATGCTTAATATTTCAGAAAGATGATAAGAAATAAATATATTTTTATCATTAACGTTTCTAATAGATAATTTGATACCAACTTAGCTAATGCGACGCCAGTCTGAGAACCAGGTCGACCAAGTCGCTGCACATCGAATATTTTCGGGGATTTTGTTGCATTTAAATTAGCCATAGGAAAGCGCACTGTAATATGAAAATTACTGCGTTAATTTTTGCTCAAGAGTTGAAAGAAATTGCTATTATGCGCTCGAGACACACCACTGATAATGACGATTTAATAAAAATAGACACTATTGACAGCCATAGGAGAGGAGGTAAGGTATACTGCAAAATCTCAAAGAGATTTAAAAATAAATTGTTTGGTACTCATTAAGCTTTCAGCAAGGTTCACTGTATCTTCGAGATTTTCGATAATGTGTATGGAAAGAACCTGTCTTCGAAGTGAAGTCGTAACCATTTTTAAGAATGAGATGTAAAAGTGCAGTAGCAGCACTTTGAATTTTCGGAAGTCGACTGTTCATCTGCAGTAAAAGTGATTCGATCAATAGCGCCAAGCCGTCCAGAGGACCACTTTGGAAAAGTTGGATGCGAAACTGCAACTACGAAATTTACTTTTTTATTTTGAACTTGACATACTGACTTTTAAAAATTCACTTTAATGCATCGCTTCTTGAAAAATACATTAATTTTTTAATGAAGAAATTCCGCTGACCACGACATCAGTCAAAATACGAAGTTGAAAACTTACCAAACCAACAAAGACAGCAAGCGCACCAAGGGTGTGATGTCGTACAGCTTCTGGCCAGTAATCGTCCAACAGTGACAGCAACAGACGAAGCAGTTGGTAAAAACTTTTACTTCCCTCGGGATTTGTCGAATTTTTAATAACGCTCTTAAACAAGTGTCAAACAATAATGTGGGAAAAGTTATTCAGATATTGTTTCTCTCAATTAGTTGTGAAGGAAGATAAAAATTATTAAGACAATCTCTACGTAAGTGCTATAAAGATGTTATTTTTATTTTCACTTACACTTTGTCTGCAGAACATATTTTCTTATAATCAATTCTTTTTATATAAATTATAATCAGTATGGAAGTTCCTTTTTCAAAAATCATGCATACAAAATTATTTCGATAATAACGACCAAATATTCAAAAAAAACTTGCCGAAATATGCTGGGCCAAAACTTGTACAGTTTCTAAAACAATCAAAGCTATTTCTTGAGTCAGATTTGATTCCTGCAATACGCTAAATGGAGTTGCGCCCCCTACGTCAGTTTCAATGCATGGTTTTGCTGAGAGTGGATCTGAAACAAATGAAAATGTCGAAATTCCTAATCTTGTTTATCCTAATAAATTCAATTATATATATACATAATGCAGTTGACTGAATGGACATATTTGAAAATGCCCTTTGATTTTGGAAAATTGAATGTCAATAGCAGTCCTGAGCTATATTCATAAAAAAGCAAAATGAAACTAAATTAAAATGAGGACCTATTCCGAGAGAACTGAAACCACTCGATATTGATGTGTGACTATCTAGTGTTGTCGAATTAGTTCCTAATGTTCCAGCGGATGAGCCGGAATGCGGTAGAATTACTATTGTCTTTCGTGTGCCTCGTATTCTGCAGCATTTAAGATCAATAAATGATTGAGCAAAATATTAATGAGCTAATAAAAATTTTAATTTTTGATTTTTGACAAAAGCATAAAAAGACTTACTTATTGGATGTCCGTTGCATAGTGTAATTTTTGCCGTGATATCTGAACAAGTCGAGAACAGTACGCAATAAACAGATGAAACTATTCAACGAACCACTCGATTCATAACGAGTTATCATTGCAGCCAATATTTTACGTGGTAGGAAATGTAATAAATAAAGAGTGCACAACATCAAATCTCTTGATTCACTCTAGAAAGTTGTGAAAAAAAAGTCAATCCATTAAAAATTGTCTTTCGGATAATCATTATTTCAATGAAAAGAAAAAACTGATAAAATAAAGTAGAAATACCGAAAACAACTAATTAGGTAATTAATATATTTATATAGGCAATCAATATATATGTCATATGCATAAACATTTATTTACGCCTATATATTCCACCAAAAAAGAAAAAAAAACTACGGTAGACCGTCTATTTTATTAAAACTACTTTTTAAGAAATTACAATAAGAAACTATTTTTTAACAAAATTTAAAAAATCTAGATCAAAAATATTTGAAATGTAAGCATTATAATATGCAAGATAAACAAAAGGAAACACACTCGATCCAACTTTTCCATTAAACCAGCGATACGAGGTACAGATGAAGGAGGACTGAGTTTTTCTGCATAAGATTGATGCGAAGAAACACTTTTCAGGGAACACCCCACTTTAGATAGCAGTCCATGTGATGGTAAGGATAGCGACCGACCTAAAAATGAAAACCGAGTAGAGTGATGTACAGAAATGCGAAAAACAGTTGTTTTTCTTTATTTTTCACAAATATTATATCTTTCTCAAATTCATCAGCGGTATTAATGATTGTCCACAAAGCTTAGAAATAAAATAATAATAATAATAAACTAAATATGCATGCCAAGACAAAGCGAACAGTAGCTGTAAATGAAAAAAGAAACCCATGGAAAGTCAAAGCAATATTTCTAAAAGAGAATTTATTCTATTTGAGATAATGAGAATGAAATTATTCTATTTTTATTAAACACTTATTTTCAAGACCTACCGGTAGTACTAAGACAGGTAGGTGACAGGCTTTGTGGATCCGTTTTAGCGGATGATTCAAATTCTGCCGCATTATCAAGCACTAAACCGATCAAGGGAGAATACAGTGTAGCAATAGAACTTTGAGCACTCTGAAAAAATATATTGCTGTTTAATGAACTATCCAACCTCGCCCGGCTATTAAAAAATATCTTAAAAAAGAATTCAGAATTTTAATCATCTCTATCGACCGATATGAACCAATACTTCGTATATATTTCAGACCGATTCACTATTCAATGAGAATTAATGATAATTTTAAATGCGATGGTAAAAATAATGACTAATTTCAAATCCCTTCGTCCTTCTGCGTAATGTAATGAAGAAAAAAAAACTGTGTGTAATAATTAAAGCAAACTTTTAAACTAAAAACAGACATAGGAAATTACTTACAGTATCCATATAACGTTTATCACTAGCATGTTTTGCAAATAAGTTCCTCAATAGTGCAATCACTCTTCGCCGATAATCACGCGGTTCACGAAGTGATGCGTCTAGTTCCTGATATAATAAACCAACTGGAAAGTGGTGTCTGCAATATGAAGTGGACATGATGAATTCTTCCGAACATCGACTATCTGCAAATTAGTTGAACAAGAATAAAAGAATTGAAACATTTTCAAGCTTCCATGTGTAAGTATAATATGAATATAACCCTACATTTGAGGCATAATAATGAACATTTTGATGAATTTAAGAGTTTAAGTTCGAATTCTCATAAATTATGAACCATAATATATAAAAGCAAAAAATATATATAAGAGCAAAAAAAAAAAAAAAAAAAAATCGAGCCATTTTTTAGCAAGATCATGTAGAAATTTTTCAACCTATGCATTTAAATCAAGTATAATTGCCCACCTATAATGTTAGGTAGAGAAATGTACTTCATTTAATACCAAACCAAATACCAAATATCTCATTTAAGTTACTCCTTAGTCAGCAAATAAATTTTTTGAAACACAAACTTACAGCAAAAGTAATCATTTCCACTTCCACTGTTTATCGGAGATGAAAAAAATTTCGTAAATAAATTGGTAAACAGACTGCCGGTATTAGAATTCGTGACTGTAAACAAGGTAACTATAAAAAAGGTGCCTCCTTTCCTCTAATTAGTTTGAAGAGTTTTTTGATAAGCAATACACGTGAACAAATCTACTTCTGAATGCGTCGGAACACAATAAAATGACATCAATTATAGGTATAGTGAATTATAACCATTAAACAATCACTTTAATATGACAGGAAGACACTTACATATGCTATCTGTACTTAAAGAACTGTTTTTCCTAAAAATATTTCCGGAAACGTCGCATATCAGCGGTAAGCATAGTGGTATCCAGTGTTCATGACCGCTAATTATTTGCAGAAATTCCAGTTTATAATCAAGCATAGTCTGAAAATAGCGTTAGCATACAATAAAACACGAACTCACATACATATTTGCTCATATCGCATCATGTGCCTAAACTGGAAAACTGCTTAACTAATCTGAAAAATAGACATACCCTTGAGCAACTTTCATCCATACTTTCAATGGTGCGATGTATCCAAGAAAATACTGACCCCCGATTCAGAAAACTCAAACAGTACTGAAATGTTTTAGCATGTTAACAAACTTAAAATCTCAACATAATAACATTTTTCAATGACTTCTATAATTCCAAAAAGATTCGTTATTTGAATATCTGCTAATTTCTTACCCTTAAGAAATAAGCTATAGCTGAATTTGCCAACTGACACTCCTGAGGAATTTCTCGATGTTTTACTGTAATAAGCAGAACAACCTTATCAATTAACTGTTCAATTCTAAACAGCAATTCTCGTGAAAAACGATTTTCTCTTGGTACCTTAAATAAATATTTTTAATAAAAATTATAAAATGCGGAGGTCCTTTTTCTACCCAAACTAACATATTTATGCTTGCTAAAAGAATCAAACCTTATACAAACCGATATCAAGCAACCATAATACCATACTCTTTGCAACAACGACCAGAAGGAACCAAAGCTGCCGAAATACTAAGGCAAGTGAACCATTATCTGTCTCAATATAGCTGATCTAAAATAACGCATATTTTAAAAGCTTCTTAAGAAAAATTGAAAATTTCCAGTAACGTTTCCGTAGAAACAATATATAAATAAGGCAAAGATCTACTTAAATCAGTTAAACGAAAATAACAGTTGATTTGATTTGAATAAAGCAAAATGAAGTTTAAAAATATTATAATTTACATGTGAAGTAATATGCTTGCACAAGGCTGAATGCACAGTTTCATCGTCAGAGCTTGATTTGCTTCTTACTGCTGCTGATTGAAAATAATAAATAACAAATGTACGCAAAAGATGATTTTGACCTGCCGCGGCAATTTTATCAGTAATACCAATCACCGTACTATAAACAGCAATTAATAAATTATGTGCAAACAAAATCAATATAAGCTCGTGAATTCTGATGACTGTCTATATAAAAAAAAACAAAGTTCTTGAAAGAATCACTTATATTTAAAATTTCTTTTCGTTTCAATATTTCCTGAAAATTATTTAAAAAAAAAAAATTACATTATTCTTGATTTATATTTCAACTATTGAGAAAATGGTCGAAATTGCAAAGTAAGGCTATTGCTCACTTTTTAGACCAAAAAACATAATAAAAAGTATATGAACCCTCAAACAACCTTTTTTAGTTATTTTGAAACCTAAAATATTTGAAAGACAAACCCCAAAGTGCTCAGAGCCATATCATCGGTAAACGAATATGTCAACAATGTGAATAACCGATTCAAAGTTATTGGCAGGAATGGTATGATTTGATCAATGTCGACTTCTAACAGATCCTAAAAATCAAATAAAATAATAATAATAATAATAATGTATCCTGTGTTATTTTGAGTAATTCCACAACCTGATAGACAAAATATATTTTCAATGGTTCTGCCTTAATGTCGCCTACATCTCTATGTTTACTAATTTATTAAAAAATCCAAAGTGAGAAAAAGTTAAGTTTCTGAAAAATATATGAAGACTGTCGTAGCAATCGTGATCCAGCTCGCATTGTTGTGATAATTTTTTAAAACTGAAAATTGTTCAAAACTTTATAAAATAAATACGAAACTACTATTCCAGAAAATAAAACACCACGAAGGTTTTACTCATATATGAAATTTGAATATCCTATTTAAAATCAAAGGTTTTGTCTTATTAAGTTTCAAATAAGTAAAATAGCAAATATCTTATAATTTGCTCTTTTATTTGTTTCCTTAGAAGAACTTTTTACTGCAAAGGTTAGGATAACGAGTTAGTGGTCATTCGTAAACATGTATTTCTCTCAGTGGTAAAACTAGGAAGCATTTACAGTCAGCAGTACAGTCCTCATACTTGTTGCCAAGAACATACAGTTAAATTCATCTGATGGATAGCCCAATACTACTTTACTTTAATTATTATACAACGAAAATAGAAATCCATTATGAAACATAAAAAAGCTTTTTAACAGTAAACAAAAAAGTAAAATAGCAAAGTAACATTTTCCTACCCTATATCAAGCTATTTATATAAATCATTTTTTAATGGGAACTATAAATAAGCAATAAAACTATCAGTACCCATTAAAATTTTCTAAATATTAAAGTAATGACAAAGTACCATTGCACATCGAGAAGAGTTGTTCAAACTATGAACCACGGTTATGTACCCGTAATTTTGTAGCAAAATTGTGTGAACTAAACCTCACCTCAATTTTCCGTACTACGTAATGCCAAAAATTTTCTTCCTGTGATAATCCATGATTTTCGAAAGATGGTGAACAGGAACGCGTGACCACTAATGAGGGAGGAGACGACGGTGTATTGCTAACTGGTGAAATTGAACCTGGCAGAGTGAACCACTACAATGCGCAATTGTTAGCAAATTTACACCCAAAATAAGCAAAACAATGAAATATTCCCTGAAAGCTAAGTAATACATTAAAGTTTCAGTTCGAATAAACCAGTGATTCGATAAATCGAACAAGCACAAATTTCTGTAAGAGTGAGAATCGATTATCACTTCAAAATAAGTTAGGGAAAGCTTAGGATCAAAATCAGTAGCGTTAGTTCCACAAATACTGCAATTTCCAATGATTAGCTTTGTTCAAAAATTCTGGAAAAATTAGAATCAACTGGCTACAAAAGTGTAAGAATGAAAACCTAATTATATTTTGCACAAATATTGAGAAACACGCTTTCAGAAGATCAATGAAAAATATAAAGAGGAAATAAATAAAAACGAACACGATTTAATAGTTTTCAGTTCCGAAGATAAGTTGCAGATACTAGTAAAAATGCAACATCACAAATGGAGAGTATCAGCGTAAGTAAGTAGAGAAAATCCGACGTTGACAATATATTACTGCTAAATGAGAAGAATGGAAAGGGAAGAATATCACATTTTTTATTGAGGAAACTTAAGTATCTAAAGTCAAAACTGCCAAAAGAGTCAAAGATTATAAAGCCGCATGTGCACAGCATCTCTCAACAAAAATAATAATCCCTGAACTGAAACTCGCTTTCTGCCTCAATAATCTTTTCGTTCTCCCTCTCTTTCGGGCCTCACCCCGAACAGCAAAACTACTCTATTTAAAATAATACCAACTTTAGTTTTTGACGATACATCACTAGTGAGACCCGCACATTGAAACCTCTGACAACTTTGAAAGAATGCTTGCAACTTTTTTTCGGTTGTAAATGCTGAAGAAACAAGCCGCAGGCGAACACGAAATAACTGTCTGCCATTATCCACCCAACGAATATCTGGTCCAGTATGCTGTAATAAAATTTAGTGAACCAAACAAAAAATGGAATAAACTGAATGGATAAACTAAATGAATATGAAATGAAACTGCTTCGAAATGAACCTGATAAGCAAAGGGAAATAACAGATTAGATAAGAAAGATTTGCAGCATCAAGATCAGAAAACGAAATCGGAATATGATATTCGACTCCTAATAATGCAATATTCGAAATGGAACAATATTGTAACATAAGGAATAACTCGCCCCTTTTCCAAATCCTAGTGATTGGTAGTTTATATAACCGTGCGGTAAATCGGTAGCCACTGATAAAGAAAACTCCTGATTATCGCGTTCGATTACCAAACGGTCTTTCTTTAACAGAGGTAACCAAGCATATCCAATAGGACTATCAGAATTCTGAAATTTCATATGATATATGATCGAGTAACTGCTACTTCATCCTTACAAAAAATCTCGACAGTAAATGCAAACAGAGTAAATAAGAGATAATTACATATAAAAATTGATTTTTTTCCCAAGCAAAGCTGCATAGTAAGTAAAAATCAAGCGATAAAAAAATTAGAGAAAACCTCGTTCTGTGATTTGTTTGAAACGGTACTTGCAACTGACACATGACTAAATGAAAATAATAAATGATCGCCCGTATCTAATGAAACTGGAAGCTGAATCTTTATCTGAAAACAAAATTTAAATAAAAACATCATGGAATTTTAAGAACCTAAGGAGATAACACAATGCACTAGAACGCAAAATTAACGCCTCGCATTATTCCCTTTCAAATATTCAATGTATATAATGACCACAAATGAGAAATTGCATAAAATTACCTACTGCCTTAAATGCTGCTAATTTTTTCAGTTTTCAACAAGTAAACTCGAGCGAACAAAAGATTATCAGTAAAATAATCTGCAACTAGAAATACCTCATCACTGAAGACTGGATTTTGTTCGTGGTATTGCACTGAGCAACGCATGCTGTGTACAAATGGTGTAGGTGATGCAAATCGGTTGTAAATGACCTAAAGTAAAAACACGAATTTTTTTAGATCTTAAACAAACTGACTACGATCTAACGTTAATTTAAGTTTGTATGAAGATGGAAAAAAGAAAAAAAAATGCTTCGGTTTTCAAATGAACAAGTCTAATCAGGCTTATATATTTCCATTTTATTTTTTAATTACTTTTCGCTTTAACTCGTTACATCGTTATGAACAACATCTAATACCTAACATTCTCTATTTGACTAAAAAATTTTTTTTAATGGAAACGAACTTTTGATATGCCTTCTTTTTTGGTTACAGAAATGAAACGTATAGTACACACGATATTACGTGCTTTACTAAACGCTTTCTGGCTATCATACTTCAGTGTTAATGGATATACATAGAGTAAATTGAAAAGACTTGTATGTGGTTCGCTAATTAAATCACTGAAACACTGGGCTTCAAAGCAAGCTGGTACAAGGCTATCTGATGTTACATTCCACGGACGTACAGGCATAAAACTCGAATTTATACACACTGAAAAAAGTACAAAAAAATACTGGAAGTAAAAAATTAAATACTTGAAACATATGAGAATTACATACATGCTTCCTATTTATATCAAAAAAGATCAAAAATTACAGACTTGATAAATCAGATGCCTTTGGCGAAAAGTCAATATTGACACTGATCGTTGCCGCCGGTAATTGTGTTAATCTTCCGGATTTTTCAATTCTGGAATGAAAACAGTGAAGACAGTAAAATAATAAAAGTTTTCTTTTTAAATTTTCAAATCTATCTGATAATAAACTTTAAATAAAACCAACCGTCCAAAGTCAGTGAGAATTTTCTGCAAATCGCCGTCACTTAGTCTATTTCCTTCACAACGATAAAGTTGTATTTCATTTGGCGATTTCGTTCCATAACCCAACATTTCTTGAAATACAGGCCTGCAATATCATGTTTACCATAAAAAACAATAACTCATATCAATGATTTTCTTAGAATGATTTTAAAAGTAACATCAATAATTTGGTACCCTAATATATAGATGTTAATTGCGCATTTTTTTAAAAAATATCAATAATGTTCAAAAAAAAGTTTTCACGCTACTTTTACTCCCATTTACAAAGAAGATATAGATCATCGACGAATCAAGTGAAACGAAATAGCTCAAGATACGTAAAAAATATTTAGAAAGAGGAAGATTCATTCATGTATGCTTTCATAAGGTTATATGATGATAACACGAACAAAGACACTGAAAAAATATCAGTAGGACTAAAATAAGAAATAAGTGTTATACGTTACCTTAACCCAAATATTAAACTTATTGCATATAATTATAACGTATTAGACCTTGCAGCCCAAGCAAAACACATTTTGTCCTGAGTTGCTCTCGAACAAGCTTGTTGAATTACTTTTTGCAGCTTTGCAACACCTTTTAAATCACTTGTTGTTTTCATATACATTTCTGCCGATGTATCAACCGAAAGTAGTCGATCAACACGAATAACCAAGTAAATATCACGATGAGGTTTAGCAACTGAATATAAAATCTGCAACTTTTTCTTTAAAAAATCAGTAACAGTCGGTAATATTAGTAAGCATAAAAATAAAAATAAAAAAACTAAAAAATTAAATGATAAACGCAGTAAAGTCAAAGAGATCAATAGAAAAAATTGAGAAATCTATTGAATTAAAGATTAAGAAGAAATTAAACAAATATGAATAAAGAGATGAACTGAAAATGAAATAGAAAAGCGTGGAAGATATTCAGTACTATTCCTCTTATTTTTGATACATAAAAAGAAAAGTGAATTATGGGTTACAAATAATAGGTGAGCTGAAAGAAACGAAAAATTCCCGTTAGCAAATTTTCTAATTTTTGATAACAACCTTTCGAACGTTTTTATCGGCAAGTATTCGCTGGGACAAAGTACTAACACCATCTTCTTCCAACGTGCTTTTATCAACTGAACTCTTGCCAAATCCATCTCTGCCACCAATTTTTAACGATGCAATTAATCCGTCGCTGTTCGGATCAATTCGAAACTCCTCGGACAATCGCTGACCAGCTCGACAATCGTATAGAAACATGCGGAGAAAGAAAGGTTCAATCTGGAATTGGCATACAGAATAAGATATGAAGTTCGCAGTACAAATAGTAGTACTCCTTCAACTATAGTTCAGGAAGAAAAAGTTCTGACAAGCTGTAACAAGCCAATAAGAACAAATTTCACAATTCCGCCAGCCAACTTTATTGATACTAAAAACTCAAAAAAAAAAAATCGCCTTTAAATACTTCAAACAAGCACCTGTTGCACATTTGTACTTGAAACAGGTAACATAATATTCAAATTCTGGAACTCAACAATAAACCGAACTACAGCCTTATTTTCCGGAGGCCTTGTTACCTCATTCGCAACAACATTCGCCAACAAACAACCCGCTTCACTTTTTGGCATTGATAATCGCTAAAAGACAAAAACAGTCCTTAGATATTGAAGATAAAGTACTGAAATCATGAAATCAATTCGAAAAAATGACTAACATCAAGATCAGGATACAGTGCGAAAAGTGAACGTCTTTTAACAACAGGCGGTTGCAAGGCTTTTGAGGCAGCGTTACGTCCAGCCCAAAAACAAGTCCCAAATAGCTCTTAAAATTTTCATAAACTTGGAAACAATATAAATCCATAAGTTCAGAAATAGAAATAGAATACAAATATGTAAATAAATAAAGTCCATAAAAGTATTCATGGAATCCATTTGCTGACATATCATAGTTCAAAGATTAAACCGATAACTTAAAATCATAACTTAAAATTAACCAACCACTAGGATCGTTGTTTACTGTAGAGATCTGTTCGTTACTCATTCTTGTTGTTTCCATGCTTGATGATTCTTGTTCTGAGTTAGTACTCGTTGAAGCCGTCCCATCTAGAATGTGAGAATATCGATAAAAATTCAGACTTAAACTGAACTTAAAAAAATCTTAAACTGGACTTAGAAATTCCTGCTGCAATGATAGACCTGTAAGTATATTCATTGAAATTTTGCTAAGACTTAACAAATTAACATCTGTAAGAGAGACTTAAACTTAAGAAATAAAACCTACGTTAGCTATTCTGAGCATTCTTAACTCTTTACGGAATGTAAATAATTCTATCATTTATTTTCTTTCAGAAGCCTAAACATATAGTTCAATTATTTTCGATGATTTGTAATGTAATATTTAACGACATTCAATAGATCTTTTCAATACTTGAAATTTTTGCTTTTACAAATATGAAACAGCTGAATTATTCAATGTAAACAATTACTACGGCAGCAAGTATGCAGCTCGTTTCATAATGATAGTATTGCGGCATTATTTTTTTCGGTTTTTCTAATGCTCATTTTTACACACATTATATATATATATAGAAGGCTAATGCAAACTGTTTATTCACATCGTGTTGTCGATGATGTCAACAAGAAAAGAGGAAATAGTTGTGTGGCAGTTCGCCGATAACAGTCAGTTGCTCACCGTTAAATAATCAAGCCCTAACTAGTCTCTACATCTCTTTCATTCCTTTGAATAAGTGAATTCATCTTCCTTTTCCGTTGATTCTGGTAGTTTTGTGAAAACCCATCAATTAAACAAATTCAGAAGAGCTTATTACAACTTTTTCGGTTGTCTTCTCTTAATCGTATAAGTGTGGGTGATGATTAAGAGAACACAATCGAATTTGCTGTAATATTATGCTCGCACAACAGCCTGCTTTTCTGGATATGAAAATCAGTCACACATTGAAATGATTTTATTTTCGCTGCTTAATATTAAATGATAAATTATGTCTGCGAATAGTACTCTCAAAAATGAGTACGAAAAAAAAAAAAAGAAAAAAACTAAAAAAACCCAAAGCTGAAATAGCGAAAAATTTATCTAACTGACTTGCATATTCATATCTGGTGATCCTTCATTATAAGAAAATAAGTAACCTTTGCAGTCGCCAGCCAAAGCACGATCAATTTCAATTAACCATCGAGGTAAATCGCTATCAGAATCAGCTGCCAAAACCCATGAACGCCTTTCTGCACCAGATCCACTCACCTCCAATTTACTATTATTCATTCTTTTTAAAAAATCAAATGCTGAAATATCGCGAAAAAAAGTTATGCTTCGCGAAGTAACTCATAACATCATAGCCGAATCAGAGAAAATGAAAGCAATTTATTTACAACTGATATTATCAATTTAAGCAAAAAAGAAAGTGAACTAGTAAGCCTATGAATGGCGACTCCAAAAAGATTGCTCCTCCAAAAAAATCATAGCGGAACACATAAACATGCAATTCAAATTTTATGCTACGCACTTAATCTTAGAACTAAATTCAAAGCCGTATATAAATAATTTTTGTATTTTGTTTCGACTCGATTTCATCTCCATCAATGAAGCCTTATCTGCATTAGATAACAATTATGCTCATACTTCAAGAACATTTCGGCCCTTTTTACTAGTCGACAAAGCCGCTTGTTGCACAATCATTGGTGGATGTGTTAATGCTGCAAATTGTGATTTTCGCATTTCTAGTAGAACTTTTCCATCTTCATCTTTTCTTAGCACACAGTAACGTTTCTTCATGCTCTACAAATGAATCATTTAAAATGTTCAGAATCTGAGTTATACTTTTATTCAACTATTTCTGTATTTTCATATACTAACTTTGTATTCTAAATTTATTTGTTAATGATTAAAAAGAATGACGTTTTGACCAAATAAAACACTTTTATAGGTTTATGGAGGTAAACCAATGATTCAAACAGAGCAATTCTCTCCATAGTTCACATTCTCATGGCGACAGTGGATAAATGACAAGTGTATCTTTAAATTAGCTTATTACCATCGACCATTCACCTTGAAATTATCCAAAAGACTAGTTTCTGGAACAAGGAACAAGAATCCTTCTCGAATAATATCCAAACTACAGCGACCCTCTAACTCCTAAAATATAGTATATTGGTAAATATTTATAAGAATTTGCAATATACGGAAAATCAGTGAACAGAAAGGATGAAGGAGAACTTATCTCTTTTTGTTCATCATAGATCATATCATTTTCATAAATTAATGGCTGAAGATCGACATCATGACTGAAAAAAAAAAAAATTTTTTTTTTTTAATTAACCCGAAGACTTATCTAATATCATTGTATATCTGCTATCTGTTATTAATTAATAGAATCAACTTTTTAGTAATACATATCCGATTCAAATGTCAAGTCTTATTTCTTACTAATCAAGGTTAATGATGAACTCGTATTTCAAATAAGGAAAAATTTTACGACAAACATAAGTGGTCTCTCCCATGAAATGAATTTAAATAACATTTGGAAAGATAACATCAATACAGCTTACTCAGAAATACTGTGATAATCCGAACCGAACTGCGTATAATTAAAACGAACAACACGATGCGGAGCAGTATAAAATGCAAGGGCTTCTTGCGTAAGTAACCATTTTGCTTCTGTTACCTCACGCACACTTAATGATGGCATCACAGTACGTTCCAATGGAGATACTGATATCTCCTGAACTAATTTTTCTAAGTTTCTAATTTGGGGAAAACTTAATAAGCACTAAAAATGGAAATCTAAATATGCTGCGAAAATTGAACATTTCATGATACATGTTGGGTGAAACACTGCAGCAAATCCCAATTTAATTTTAAAGTCGAGAATTAAAAGAATAAAAAATACCGTGAAGTCATCGCGCGGAAACAGTAACAGCTCTCGCTGACTAAGATTTTCTATTATTGAACTGTTTTCACCCAAAAACTTCTCATAATCCAATGGTTCCGCTAATGGTCGTTTGCGCTGTAGAAATTAAGATTCAAAAAATCCAACTAGAAAACAGTTTAATTCATTTCTATATCAAAATGTCCAATCCCCAATTCAAACAGTCAAACTCAATCAAACTCAATAATCATAAACTTTTGTTTAAAGAGAGACCCAAATAAATAATGCAAAAATAACCGTCGGGTTCATTGTGCTCATTGCTGTTCGTACTGCTTCACGGGCTTCTCGGGCCTGCCCTGGCTTCCCCACTGCAGCTGTGAATCTAAAAGTCTACGAAATTATCTGAAAGGTTTGTAAATGGAAATTTAGGACTAAATTAGAACTTATGCAGTTACTTCTCTATTTCTTTTTAATGCCATTTTCATTCCACTTTATGTAAGCATCCTTTGAAGGGAATCAAACTTTCACATTTTTTCCGTTTCATTTTGTTTTCTGGTATTCAAAGTACCGCCAATCACACATTAATTTTAACGCTCCACAAACTAATTTTGAATGAAGTCAGTTATTTCGCTTTAAATATGATATTCATAAGGTTACTTTTAGATTATTGCACAACCCTGCCACTTCAAAATTTTGACCATTATTTAAAAGTTAGAGAAACTGAATAATTTCTTCAGACTGAACGACCAAAGAAACCGGTTAACTAATAGTAAAATTAATGGAACTGAAATCAAATTCTGCTCGTGTCAAATTGGAGTGTTAAATTAAGGCCTTATTAGTTTCAGTATAAAGTTTGGAGGATTAAAAATTATACTTCCGCACTTGACCACCAACTGATCGTTGACTTGCTATCTCCATCAAGCTACTACTGCCAGTACTGGAAACAGAAACCATGGAGCGACGATCGTCATGGCGAGGTGTATTATTTTTCATTCTGCTAATAGAAATTAGTCATGGATTTACTTTAGAGATAATAACTAAATATAATCAAAGTGATACTTGGTCGTACTGACGGAATAGCAAACAATAGAAGCAAGTTTCTGTAAAATGATGATCAAGTGACTTACTTCTGATTAAATAATGTATATAGTTAATAGCTTATTACTAGTCTTTAATACTAATAATGATTCATAGGACACATCAAAATCCACCTCAATTATACATCCAGAAAAAATATAAAGCATTAACTATTGCCCACTTATTCTTGTCATATCTAATCACTTTATTCATACTTAATTCATTTATCTTCATTTTTCACTTCATACCTGACTTATGCCAGCTTATTAGTGTTAGAGGAATTACCACAGATCTTGCAACTTTGCTAAATTAGGGATTTACTTTCATAGAGAAAAACAAAACCCAACTAGGAACTGATCTCGGCTAATATGACAATAAATGCTGTGTGCGGTTTCGGTATGCAACTCTGCTAGACCGTAAGTGCGACGTATGACGTAGCGGTAAGAAAATTTTTTGGGGAAGTTTCCTGCGGGTAGTTTTTTAGCTGTTTTTAATTGATCATTACAAAAGTAAGTTGTAAACGTAAGTTGTTACTAATTAAGTAGGTTGAATAGGCGCTTTTGTTCGGATCGATTTGCAAACAACTGAGACAGTTTTTGAAGAATTTTTATTTGAATTTGAAGCATTTGCTCTTGAAAAGAATATTTTGTGATGCATTTGCTTCATGCAAGAAAGGTGCGTTGTTGGTTTCTTATCATTAGCTGATTGTCATCTGTTAATTAGAGTGTGTAGATCTATTACAGGAAAATGGTGTCGGTAGAAAGTCTTTTGTCAGAGGTGACCACATTATTTGGCTACCAACTGACATTGAGAGCAGCGGATGAATTATTTTTTGGTGACAAAATGCTCTATCACTACCACTCAAACGATGGATCAAAAAAAGGAATATCTGGTTTGTTATTACTTATTTAATTCTTTATTCTATTCAGGATCGCTATACAACTTTATTCCTGTCGTTTCTGAATATTGTCAGGTTATCATTTATTCCAAGATACTTTTTGAATTAGAGGTATGCGTTGGTATTTGTTCTCTGTTCTAATTCCGGCAACCGCTAGATAAAATAAAAGCGAACATGCACATAAGTTTTCTTTTGTTATTGATTATTTCATTTATCTTGCAAATAAATTCAACCGTGTTTCCTTTTGGACTTATTTGAAGTGTCTTTTTTGTTGTTCATCTCGTCATACTTTTGTAATGTTAGTCTCAGAAGGTACTTGAAAATCGTTGTTGTCTTTATTGTATAGCATGTATTCGTGTATTTTATTTGCTGGGTTGCTGACTTTGACGGCAAATGTAAAGAGCGTCACTGCAAAATTTCGAAAAACTTTTAGATCGCAGTAGTCCAAATTGCATGAATAAGAGGAGAAATCAGAAAGGCAGATGTCCTAGTAACAGTATGCATGAAAAACCTGATGGATCAGATGGCTTACGTGACGCTATCGCTAATGCCAGAAAAACACTGAAGCGAGCGCTGGATGATACTAGTGGTAGGTAAAAATCATTATGTAGTTGGTGATGAAGGGACCCCTGTGTCGAATAATGGTAATGAGTTATTATGGATGGATGACGTGTATTTTATGCAGCAAGAAAAATGCATCGTTTTATTTTTTGATTGATTTGGTAATTTGTCAAGTAATTTTTGCTAAGATTTATTTGATAGTCGGCAGTGTCAACCTGTTTATTAAAGCGGCAACAATGACATTGACTATTGATTAAAATCACTTAGTCGGCATTATTTTGGATTGCACATTTCCGGACTTCTCCACTCATTTATTAGAGCTCTTTCCCAGTAGTTGCGTGACTACATTTTGGATGTATATAATAACTACGTGAATTATTACCGAGGAAATACTCTATGATCTTTACCTACTTATCATCGGCAGGTTGTTTTCATTTCTTGGGAAATATATCCTTTACTTGTCATTATTGCTCTTCTCATAAACTGACCTGTAGCAAAGGAATTCAGTGCCAACATCTTTTTTGTAGGTTCATTTTTAGAAGACCTAGCTGGTAATGCATTAGCAAAATTAACTGGAGAAGTTGTCGCGTTAAAGAAAGTAAGTGATGAAATGCGAAATGAAATCCAGAAACTACGTGAAGACTTCCAGAAGATACTGAATTATGCCCACCAGGTCAGTGAATTTTTCAAGGGAGAATTTTTCATACTTTTTATTTAAGTTCCAAATATTTTCTTTGATTTCTCTAAAACCATATTTTATTTTCGATCGATGCCTCTATGTTGATGCAACATTTTCTCTGGCATGCCTTTGTAGGATTTAAAAGTTTTATGAAATCTTGCTAGCAGTATCTCTTTCTTTATAAAATTTATGTGAAATAATTTGCTAGAATACTTCAAGGTAAGAGTAATAGATGAAATATTTATAGTAGGCGATGCTTTTTAATAAAGTCGCGTTTGTTGTCAGCATACTTTTTAACTTTTTTGGATTGTAGCGGTTAGTAAAGCTCAGTATAATTTGCAGTCAAGACCTTGCATATTTTCCGCATTGGAAAGAGTTGGAAGTAGGACATTAATTTTGGGCGATGGCAATCTGTCATTCAGTCTTGCATTTGCTCGCTTACATCCTGAGATCGAAATATATACAAGTGTTTTTGAAAGCTATTCTGAATATATTACGAAATATCCTTCCGGTGAAAAGAATATCATCGAACTTCAAACTAACCATTCTCATGTCCATATTTTATTTTCGATCGATGCCTGCTTACTTCCGGAAAATTGGACTGGGTTTTACGATGATATTATATGGAATTTTCCTCATCACTGTGGAAAAACAAATCTTCGTAAAAGTCGTCAGCTAATTCAGAAGGCATTTGCAAGTATTGGCCGGTTATTGTTATTCGGTCGTTTTCATATTACTCTTGCTAAGGGACAGAGTGGATTAGATCACTCGTCTATATTGTTTAGGCGATGTTTCAAATACCGACGGTTGCCAGAACATAAGTCAGATAGTTGGAATATTATCTACATAGCTGCTGAAGAATACTTTATTCTTCAGGAAGCTTCCATTTTTCAACCAGGATTGTTCCCTCCATATATTAGCTCAGGATATCATAATTCGGAACGATCTTTTAACGATAAAATTGGGCCGGAAACTCTTACTTTCGTTAAAAGTCCTGTCGTTACTAAAGTCAAAGAACTAACTGAGTATGAAAATAAGATTTTTAGAATCAAAAGAATAGCTCATGAATGGCGACCATTTTTTCATAGGGACTTATCAATTATTTATTTGAATCCAGAAAAAGCTACTGAATTGGAGAGGGTTTTATTTTTCTTGATTGAAGAACTTTGTGGGCATATTTTAGTGGACTTTTATGAAGTCGTAGACAGGAGAACATATTATTTAGGACTACCTAATCACATTTATCATTTTGTGTGGCAGAGCTGGAGGATTCCACTATCCAGAAAACTTTGTAATTCGATTCATGAAGAAATTAAATTGACGCTTAGTGATCGTTTCATCGAGCAGCATCTACAAATGATTGTGACCTAATTTGAAAATTTTTTGGTTTCAGTGTATCTATTCAGCATTTGTTTTCAAATAAATTGTTCTCATTGGAGACTCGTGTTTTCTCCATTTTGTGTTTTATCTTTACATTTATTTGTATTCTTTAAAAAAAATTTTTTGTTTAATAGTCCAGAATAATGGCCATCTTGTTGAGGTAATAATGGAGCCCGATATCCTGAATTTTTCCTGTGACGTGGCTATAAGAATTCAGTTCTTTAAGTTTGCATAACCTACCATCGTCGTATAAAATAGCGCTTCTCGCGATGCAAACTCACTGAATTATTAAGTATTTCAAGCATATTCTTTCGTAGTCAGTTTATAGAATCTTTTGATGTTTTAAGAATTTTGAAGTTCTGGATGATCATATTATTTTAGGGTCATGAGATTTCTCTACCTGCTTTGATAAAGGAATCATCAGAAATTCAAAAACCATTAGAAGTATCAAAAGAGGATTTTGATTTATTTGAATCATCGGATGAAGATGATGCAGAAAAAGAACGTATCAAACAGGAAAGGCTGAAAGCTTATGCTGAGAAAAAAGCAAAGAAACCAGGATGCATTGCCAAGTCTTCTATTATTTTGGATGTGAAAGTAAGTTTTTTTTTTTTTATTACTTTAGATGTAGAAATAATTTTTTTCCTATTTCAAATTTATTTTTTCCTTCTGCATGAATAAAGTTAAATTTGTTGAACAGTTCAAAGAATGTATATTTTTGATGTAGTAGTAAAGTCCTGAATTGTATCATATCACCATTGAAAAAACACTACATTGAATAGTTATGTTGTTCTTGAAATTCAAGAAGTTACTTTTTACAGTGGTTTAAGAAGCATTTTTTTAGAAGTAAAATAATTCATAGATATAGAAATACCAAAAATGTAGTTCCTTGTATTACTTAGTATGTGGTTACCATTTTGAAACAATTTTTCTTTAAATAAAAAATCAGGAAAATTGTGTTTTTGTCTGTTTTTTTTTTTTTCACATACTGTTGAATTTTAGCCTTGGGACGACACGACAGATATGCAAGAAATGGAAAAATTTGTTAGGAGGATTGAGAAAGATGGTCTCGTTTGGGGCGCTGGTCAGTTTTGTTTGTGAAATTGTTATTTGCAAATGTGGAAAACTGTTATGTATAATTAATGCCTAAATATAGTTGTTTGCTGCGTACATGCCATTATAACTAAGAAATGTGCTAAATCAGATCGCGGGATATCTATTTTTTTTTTTTTTTTTGTCTTTTCTTGAGAGCTGAAAAGGTCAAAAGGAAAAGACCGTAATTCATATTGGTATGGTAAAATTCCTTGCGCTTTGTTATGATCAAGAATATGTCGAACAACTTTGATTTTCACCATTCTTTGAAATGAAGTAATCATTTGTTAACTGGTCTCCACTTTCTTTTTGTGGAACACTTCTGGATATTTTTTGATTGAATATTGTTGCAGAACTTTGTTTCATTCCTCTCTTTTTCAGCAAAATTGATCCCGCTTGCGTACGGTATTAAAGTGCTGCAAATTATCTGCGTTGTGGAAGATGAAAAAGTTTCTGTGGATGATCTTATCGAGCAGATAACCGAAGAAGTATCGGATCATGTACGTTTTTATTGTTTCTGTTTTTAAGATTGTTTTCCTTCTGTTTATTATTTCATATCTTCACTTTTCGTTTAGGCAAAACTGAAATTCATATGACATGACAAAGCACCTTTTTAATTTCAGGTGCAGAGTGTCGACATTGTTGCCTTCAACAAAATTTGATAAGTAAATGTGACTTGATTAAATTGTCTTTTTGTCTTTTCATTTTTTCTTTTTTGAAAAATATATTTGCTTATTGATAAAATTCTTTGCTTCGCTTTTCAAGCAAGCTCTAACTGTTCAAACAAAAAGAATCGCTTTGGCACTGAATTTTAAAAATGCTTTGTTTTAGGATTTTCTGAGAGTTCGACTAATTATCTCATTTAAAGACTCTCTGCAAGATAACTTGTTTCCTTTTTATTAGAAGTAGTTGTTTTGCAACCGCTCATTTATTAGTTTCTCGGCATTATCGGCCTTTTATTGAAACCAGTGACAAACAAAATATTAAGGTGGCTAATCTTGTCAACAAAAATTTGACAGGTGTTGCTGTTTTGATTTTAGCATGTTATATAGATGAGAGGTACTCACATGCATCAGTAGTATTTTGTTCTCCTGTCGTCTCACATAACAGCCATACCGAAAAAAGAGGTCCTCTGAGAGGAACGAACATCTGTGACGTAATTACTAGCACCTTAACTACACCGCTATTGTTTTCAGATGAAACAGTAAGGTTTTCTTTGAAGTGGATCGCCTTTCGTTCAATTCATACTACGGTACTGTCGTGGATGATTTGTTATGTGTCATTAAATTTTATTGGCTCTGTTGGTAGTTATATAGGTTTTTTTTTGACCAGTCTGAAATACCTTGGAATGTAAAACTGATCCTCGAATTTATTCAGAACGGCATAATATTTGTTTATTTATAATAAAGTTTACAAAGTTATTTCAGTTGTGCTACTGAACGCCAATTCGAATAAAACTTAAAAAGTTTCATAATAACTGATATGTTAATGCTCTGAAAATGCTATAAAAGATGCAAATGTGTTGAAGTGATGTCGTGTAGTTTTATTGTTCAGGTATATTGTTATATTCATAGCAACAAGGAATGGTATATTAGCTTAGAATTTATTATTTTTATCAGATCTGACAGACTCTGGTAGATTCATTTGTTTTTGGAACAATGCACCAATCTATCTGACGTCAGTAGTGGCTTTAGAGGGTTCTGAATACGCTTCTCCAAGATACCAAGGTACTCCTTGTTCGATGCTAATTAGATGCAGCTTGAGCAGTGCATCCGTTTAATCTCCTAATATTTATCATGTAAAACTGATTCCTTACTTGGAATAATTAGCATTATGAACAATCCAAACGAGCTAATTTCGTATTTCTCCTCGCAAAGCTAATAATTTGCATTCGGTCAAAATATTCCAGCAAGATATTAATATAACATAGCTCAATCTCATCATTATTTGCAGAAAATCCCATATTTAGCAATTAAAGTAATGTCATTGTTATGCTTAATGTCTCATTTAAAATTACATTTGCAAGTTTCAGTTTTGATTTCATATAATTGATCATATCGCACAATTATCTAAATACATTTCTCAATACAAGCAGCTGTTTGAGGAAGTTCAACGCATTATTGAACTAAGATTAACTATGAAGCTATCCAATCGACATATTTCATTTACCATTATTCGTGCAACTTATCATAATTGGTAAGCATCACTTCCTGAGTTAATACTCTATTCACAATTTTCACCACTGCATTCATTGAATTACTGATGAGTTATAATAGCTTTTGTTTTGTTAAATCATTATGAATAAAAGTAGAAATAAGTGAATGGTTTACCATTTATTTATCATTTTGATATTATGATAAATAAATTTTCCTAAAGTTTTTCATTGTCATCAATTGTAATCTCATTATAACTCTTCAATACAATAATTAATTTTCCTCTTCCTGTTGCTTTCTTACTATTTGCGATTCTGTGGACTTGTCCGCTTCCTCTCTTTACACATGCGATGTTTATGTACTCAATTATCTTCCTAATCTACTTTAGCTTTTAAAAGTCTTTAGGAAACAATCATAGATACTGTAGTTTCTCAACTTCAAATTGCTTTAACTAATTAGAAATGTTTTCTTTTTCTTCGGTAAAAAAAAATTTATTACAAACGATTCAAATGTATTCTAAAACATTTCGTTATTATATCAATTGCATGCAGTGTTCATTTTTAACGATTTTTTATTTTCTAAATTATTAATAATCAGAGTAGATTTGATTAAGAAGAAATAATCACATATTTAAATATTAAAGAATTTCCTCCAAATTATACCTTTAAAAAAAAAGGAAAAATGTCAAGAAATGGACCAATTGAAAACACTCAACTAAACCTCTCTCTCTCTCATCCTCCTTCTCTCTTTTCTCTTCATTGTTAATGAACAAAACCTGAAGACATATTGGTGGAGAGGGTATTGAAGTACTTTACTATCCCATTTTCGTCCTCAATCACATCTTAATATTCGTTCTATCTTTCTTCAACCATTAATTTCGAGAGATATTAAACATATGTTACTCTACTACTACTACTTCTACTCCTCCTTTACTCTTCAATTTACAACAATCGCTTGAAAAATCTGTTAAATCCTCTCTAGGTGAGATAGATAATACATTCGTTATTGTAAATTAATGTTTGTCTGTATACTGTATAAATGGACTCTTTTGCTTGGATTGCTACATTATGTACCTGAGGAATACTACAATATCATATTTTCAGGGATAAGACTCAAATTCTTCTGAAATGTACCGGAAAATTTCTGATCGAAGCGTTTCATCATTTTTTTTTTTTTTTTTTTTGATAAAAATTTTAAGGAATTATGTGATGAATAATGCAGAAATTTTGAAAAATAATTATTGTCCTTTCCAGCTTAATAAAAGGGGTATTTTGTTGAGGTTAAAATAAATGAAACAGGTAGAAAATAGTATGATTATCCGATGAATTGTAAATGCCTCAGTGAACGGGAAAGTATTGGACAAAACTGTGTCCAGCTTAGCAGGTGGTTCTATTGTCCGATTACACTTTTCTGTTATATATCATTGTTACATGAAACAGTCAGATGCTGATAGTAAGTAACAGTCCCAATATTATTATTTAATAATGCTGATTTTTTAATTTAGATATTACATTCGTTCAATATTAAAGATATTAAAGATGAAATATAAAATTCGGAAATAAAGTTTTTAAAAAACTAGAATTGCCGTAACACCTTTCAAACGTTTCAATGCACTAATTCCGATCAGTTTCAAACATTAGCGATCAAAAATCTATTGTAATAATTTTGGATGAAGTCACTGCAAGTTATTATTGAAAAAAATTTATTTTAAGTGTATTATTCCGAGCAATTTGATGTTAATATTTGTTGCAAAGTTCATTTAAATCGAATAAATTAAATTTAATCAGTCTATTTTGTCTCATGATATTTTGAGAGACAATGATAATAATTAATAATAATAATGAATAAATAATAATATATATTAATAATAAATAAATAATAGCAGTAATGCTAATAATCAATGATACCAATAGAAAAAGCAAGACTAATCATTACTTATTCAGATCTATCAATGCAGAAGCAATAAGAATGTTCAAATCACGGTCAATGATTACGAATAATGGAGCAATTCTGATATTGCTGCTATCTGGGATGTATTTAGTTATAATTGTTCACTGAAACATACATACACCATAGCTAATTACTCGGTCGAACTTTGATGAATCATTCTTACCCAAAATTATTCAATTTTAATGTTCCTACCTATATGAATTTTCTGGATGATTTATTCGATGGTTAAATGTTATCAAAGAATGTCATTTGCTTTTGCTTATCTGTATTTTTATTTTTATTTCCTTAAAATAGAAGTGTTAATCTTTTATGGTCATATTTTTATTAAATTCTAAACAAATATGTGCGTAGAATTCAAAAATTCAGAGAATTAAGCGTAAAATGGCACGGCTTTGTTTGCAGCCAACACTATCAATAATAAAACTTAGCAGAATTACAATTCATTAATTCATTCTTGAAAATAAATCAAAAATTTATCACTATAAAATTTAATAGGATGAAAAATTCTTTCATCTCTATACTTTTTTATTGAATTTTTTTAAACATATAGCACATTAATTAAACTACTTATTCATTCAGTTTTATGTTTACATTAATAATATTGATGATATTAAAAATAAGTAACCAATTCCTTTTCTAAGTCCCTCACTTCATCTTCTCTTCATATGCTCATTTCTTTGATCAGTGATTGTAATCAAAGATTTGAAAGCATCTCCTTGTCTCATACTTTTTTTAAGACAAAATTTCAATAAAAAATGACGAATTTCGTTACTACTTTGCAAAAGAAAGAAAGAAAGAAAGAAAAAAAAAAACGAAAACGAAGAATAAGAAGAAAAAAAGGGAGAGAGAGAGAAGTGAAAAGAGGAAGAAAGCTGAAATTTCTTTGTGAGCTTGTGAAATAAGCGCTAGATATTATTCATCAAGGTATTGAACTAAAGAAAAGGTAGCACGAAAACTCACCTATTGTTCTGCCATTTTCTTTCCTTTTCCCCTTCTTCTTCTTCCTTTTATCCGTCACTAGAAATTGCAACTGTTGTTATGTAAAATGCTCAAAAGAAAAGTTTCATATATCGTATAAAGTTAGCTATGAAAGAGAAGCATAGAATTTTGCTTCTGTCATTAAATTTATTAATTTTATATTAAAATTATTTAAAAGATAATGAAAAAAATAATGCTACGAACTGGTAAAATTCATTTATAAATAAGCTAATGCACTATTATTTTCAACGAATTGATCAGCTGGTTTCAATTAAATTTTATTAATCCAATTTTTTTAAACGAATAAGTTAAACTGCATACTATGTGTTCATCTATATTTATTTTTGCTGGATATCAGTGATGTCGTTACAGTCCTCAAACATTAAATATAATTCAATTTGGTTTACAATAATCTGATAGAAAGATTTTTTATGTTGCTAAAATTTGCCAATCAAAAAATCTCCATCAATGGAAGGATTTTCTTGTCACAGACTTTAATCCACTTATTGTCGGTAGAAATAAACATTAAAGTAAACAAACGATAAATCGTGGAAATTTGCATGTGAATTACAACTTTAGTC